AAGTCACAATAGAATTTTAGATATTCTATTTTACCATAATAGTAAGAAGAGCTAAAAACTATGTCAATATGAGAGGTCATAAATCACAGAGTGATGTACTTTGGTTTCTTATTTTAGACTTAATATTGTTAAATATCTGATAATAAACTAATAGAGGCACATTTTAGTTATGTGGGTGACAATCGCTGTGACAGTCGAGGAAAAAAGATGCAGCTGTGTCTGAGAAGACAAGCTAACTTAAAGTTAAAACGTCCAGTTTATCTATGATTTCAGAATTAAAAATATTATCCATGTGACAGTTTATCAAAGGCCAGACAAATATTGTATGATAAAGTGGGTTTTTTTAGTATTTTTTTTTTATTGTTAGCATCCTGTTGCCAAATTTTGGTTTAATAAATAGAGGTGACATCCATCAGTGCATGCAATAATAGATATTTTGTAGAAAAACGGAAAAATCTCCATCATAAAAAAAATAGCAAGAAAACTTGATATGACAGAAAAATGTTTTGACTTCACTAAACAGATCAGACCTTTATTGTAAAAGGATATCAAGCTGTAACTGAGCTCAGGTAGTTGATAGACTCTCAACTCCATGTGTCCATATTAGGAAAGATTTACAATTATAGGCCAATTATGAAATTTTGCTGTTGTGATTAAACGTGCAGTTCTCTCACTTTGTAGACACTCATATGGATCCTGCTGCTGTCTGATGTTGCAGCTATTTAATAAACTCAAAACTCCTTCAAACAGCTGAAAGCAACAAACCAAAGTTCCTGTTTGAGGTCTGTGTCACATCCGTCAACTAGTCAGGCAAACTGTCTTCAGCTCTCTGTGATACTTCTGGACTCGTCACCTAACGCTTTCATTTCCATTTGGACGTCAAGTTTCAGTACAAATAAAGAGTGAATTAACTTTATCAGGTCTGGGGCGTCCAGTGAAGTTCCAGGGGTGGTCATGTCGTCCCCCGATCGCCCTGAGAGGAGCCTCTGCTATTGATTACTCAAATTAGCTCCATACAACACCGACAGGTTCTAGTCATAGCATCAACATAACATTACGATCGTCTTTAACTGGCCCAAGTAAAATTCATGGTACAAACATCCCGAAAACGCTGCTCTCTGGTCAGTATACGACATGAAATAACACGAAAAGTCACAGCATTTCAAATATTGAAGTTTATTTATCAAAACACCTTATAGAACAAAGGCAATGACAGGTGACGCATGACAGAACAAAAAATTAAAAATTTGGTCTCTAAAAAAAGAAAAAAAGAAAGAAAGAAAATAGTAAAAACTAAAACGACACGTTCACTGTTACAAATCACGAACTAAAAGAACATTTTCAGTGTAACAAATATCTAACAAACCGAGTGTGATGAAGGGTAATTCATATAATGCAGAGTGTTGGGACACTGGGGACTAAATGAAATGTCGGATGTAACACAGACACAGATTATGCGTTCCTATCAATCCTAACGTCGATCTCTCTTCCGTTCAGCCGATAGCCGTTCATGGTCCGGCAGGCGCGCTCGGCAGTTTCTGGGTTGTCAAAGCGGACCACGCCACAGCCCTTGGACTTGCCGTTTTCCATCTTGATATCAGCGTACTGGACCATTCCTGCAGAGGGAAGAACACCAAAATAAGATGCTGTCTTAAAGGTTTCTCATTGTGCCCCTTTTCACCTGATTAAGTCTCACGTGTCCCATGGATGCGTCTTTGAATCCTGAGATCACAATACTGCAAAGATGGTTCATTTCACCAAGACTATACATATCCTGCTTTTAGTCCTCTAAACTTACTGTCTCAGAGTCTGTAGCTCTAAATGCAGCTGAGCTGTAGATATGAATGAGACCAGAACTTTTTGTCGCTTTTAACTGTCTTAACATTTGGCACGTAAATATCACAGCTGTTGTTTTTAAGCACGTGTTCGGCGAGTTTGTCAGATAACAGCGGCAATGAGAGGACGGGATTATACAACGTTTGAGCTTAGCGATTATTTCGTTCTGCATTACGTAACACTTTGGTTAAAAACTCACTGGCTCTAAAAGCTGGGAGGCCATCTTATTAATGGAGGTACAAGAGCAGGGGTGGGCAATCCTGGTCCTCGAGGGCCACAATCCTGCATGTTTTAGATGTTTCCCTTCTTCCAACACGCCTGATTCAAATGATCAGCTCATCATCAAGCTCTGCAGAAGCCTGATAACGATCCTGATCATGTGAATCAGGTGTGTTGGACGAGGGAAACATCTAAAACATGCAGGATTGTGGCCCTCGAGGACCAGGATTGCCCACCCCTGTACTAGAGGAATAGCAACAGCTTTAATCCTACATCTCCAAATTTACAACACAATATAAATGTGATTTTTACAACATGGATCATTAATATTAAAGAGTAAATTATATTTAGAAACTACTACGAAGCCTACCGCATGTATTGAAGGTATCCTTCAGCATCTTCCAGGTGAAGTCAAATGGCAGCTGAAAAACAAAATGCATTCAAAATGATTAAAATCATGAAAGAAGATGCTTTTAAAAATAAATTAAGCCAAACTAACTTTTGCATAAACACTTACATTTCTGACAAAGATCTGGCAGCCCTTCCTGATGTTGCTGCCCCCGGTTCCGGGTCCTCCAGCTCCGGCTCCTCCGAAGGAATTTCCGCCGAATCCGCGATCCAAGTCACCAGAGCGGTCGAACTGACCTCCAACACCTCCAGAACCCATCCGGTCCATGGCAGAGCTCATGCGGTCAAGGCCGGAGGGGAAACGGTCGAGTCCTCCAGCAGAACCCATGCGGGAGTCGAAGCTGCTCGCCATTCTGTCGAGCCCGGTGTTGCCCATGCGATCCATTCCCATCGGGGAGCCAAAGTCCATGCCGGTGCCCATGCGATCCAAACTAGACGGGCCCAAGCGGTCGAATCCACCGGGGCCGAGGCGGTCCATGCTGGAGGTCATGCGGTCCAGGCCGGGTCCGAGCCTGTCCATGCTGGGCCCCAGCCGGTCCATCCCAGAGCCAATGCGGTCGAAACCAGAACCCAGCCTGTCCAGGTCAGACACTCGATCCATCCTGTCCATGCCCATCCGGTCCATCCCTCCCATGCGGTCCATGCTGGCTCCCAGGCGGTCCATTCCGGAGTTCATGCGGTCCATACCCAGAGAGTTTCCTACAAAAGCGAATAAACAAGAGAAGAAGAAAAAAAAATCAAGACAGATGTAATCAACTGGGCTGCAGTAAGCATTACAGAGGCTTTCAAACAAAATCCTGGAAATACTAACCCATTCCTCTCTCAAAGGAGTCTCCAAAATTATTGCGAGACATCCCCATTTCATTTCGCCCAAATTCCCTGTCAAAAGCACCACCAATCCCACGGTCCATCTCTGACAATGCAAGAGATGAAACCATTAGAAACAACCAGCAAAACGTGAAAGTGTCCCACGCTTGCTTTGGAGTCCTTAGCGGGTCTCAACACTTCCTCACCGTTCATTCTGCCCATCCCTAGAGAGTTGAAACGGTCCATGTTGTTCATTCCTCCAAAGTTGTCCATTCCTGAAACAGAGGAGAAGAAAGTCTTAAGGAGGAGAGCAGGAATGGAGATGTGTGGACAAGCTGGGAATGGAAATTTAATGTATTTGATACCTGAGATTAAAATATAAAAACTACTTAATACAACCTGCATTTGAGTGGTTTCTTGCTGTAATACTGCTTTTAATCAAACTCAAGGTACCTGCAAATGTTCTTTACTACAACTTTTGTCCTAATTGCCATTCATATTTGTTAAAGTTTTTAATATATAGTCTTGAAGCATCCTGTGTTTAACAGTAAATGCAGCTTAATACAATAAAGGCTGCAGGCGTTGACAGAGTTTTGCTACGTACCTGCTCCCATACGGCCTCCCATGTTGCCAAAGCCGATTCCGTCCATTCCTACAAGTGTGAAGAGCACAGATCTCAATTATACTGTCATCTTTTGTTCAAAGCTTTAGCAGACACAACACCTGTGCTACATACCTCCAGAGCCCATGTTGCCCATCCCTCCACCACCTCCCCTGTTGAGTTGGGCAGCACCGATAGGCTGGCCACCAGGTCCCAGACCACAACCGACACCACTAAGGCCACCTGTGCAGAGAAAATGTGCTCAGTGTTAAGATGTCATCTACGCATAAAACTACATCCGAACAAACTGAATAAATACTTATGGTGTTTCATAATAACACTACTAACTAAACCAGTGTGTGTCACATACGGTGATCTTGGAGGGGTTAGAATTGTCAGTCGCTACAGGGCTGATTTAATCTACACCAGCAAAGAAGGTGGCTGTAAATACGTACCAAGGACTTACAAGGCTCATCTGAATGTATTTAATCCTATAAGAAAGATAGTGTATACTTACGGGGAAGAGCAGCTGCT